CCTTCCTGGCAGCATCCACGATCACGGCGTAACTAACATCAGACCTGTATCAGAATCAAAGATAAGAAGAAGATCTAACAGCTGCCAATACCTCCCACACTAACCGTACAAAGAAGGAGTTTTTTAATTAACCTATGTGAAAAGAAAAGGGCTAAAAGTGATGCATACAATACAGGACTCTCTGGAGGAAGAAGAGCATTCTCGAACTGTTTGCAATAAGGCCTCGACGACGGAGACGTGGGAAAGCAGGTGACATGAGGCTAAAAGCCAGGCTCGTTCATTTTAGCTGAAGACCTGCAGGGCCGCATGGGGGGCCGGTGGCCGGAGCGCGCTCCACAGTGGATCCTTCATCGTCTACGTGAAGAACCTTCAGTCGGACAGACAGACAGACAAGGAGAGACTTCTTTGCAAAAACCATTGATTTTTTTTTTTTTTTTCAACACAGGGGACGAGGGTGTGGGCGTCTTGTTTTTTAGTCTGTACAAGGGGTGTGTGTGTGTGTGTGTGTGTGTGTGTGAGAGAGAGAGAGAGAGAGAGCGCGAGCTGGGATGTGTGACTATGTGACAGTCCTATTTTCAAGGTCTGGGTGTTTGGTGATAACGTGTCAGCATGCCTCAAAGAGCACTGCAAGATTATTTTTGAAGAAATTTTTATTTTATTAGATCTAACTCTTCATAGTGTGTAAATGTTAGAACATTTTAATAATATTTTAAAACTGGGCTTCCCCGGTATCTCGAAAAGAAATAATAATATATCTGTTAATGTTATTGGAACGCTGCTCAGTTCTCTGATCAGTGCTTACGTTACGATTGTTGATAACTAACCAAAGTAGATGCCTGCAGAGACTTTAAAAATGTAAAATAAAGATGTATGCTGCCCGTCAGCTATTCTCATTAGAAAAGTTAACTTATTTTACTCCATAATTATTATAGATGCTGTATAGATTGAAACCAGTATTGTACGTTTGTGCAATGCACTGTTACACAAGAATAGGTGTACAAAGCTAAAGAAAAGATCGTGGTCACTGATGGTAGGATATAGGACTTGTGGGCTCTGAAGTCTGCAGAATTCAAGAAGAGAGATGCAAAAACCCAGTTTTATGTGTTTATTCAGGACTCACGTGTTTCACCCGCAAAGAACCTGGGGCTATGGGGGCACATGGAAGGAAGCCTAAAGACCGACTACCAAAACACGCAATATCCTTACTCACTGTCTAAGTCTGTAGCGTAACACGAACTGGATTCTCTGTCCTTTTTTAAATAGCATTTTGTAAAAGAAATGAATGTAGTCCCACAACTCCTCTGATTTGAAAGGAACACCTTGTATTTTTTATAGGCATCTCTTATCCACTGTGACTTTCTTTTAAACTGGGCTCTGTGATTGCAGAGTTTAGAATGTAGAAATGAAATGCTTAGCTTTGCCTTTTCTTGGGGGTGTGGACCCTGCCAGAAATGTAATTATGCTCAAGTGCATTAACTGAAGGCACTGTGCGCGCCGTTGGACTGCTGACTGTAGTTGTGTTACCTGTAAAATTCCATACCTGGTCACGGCACATTCATAATCACTGTATTTTCTGACCCTGATAAAAAAAAAAAATTATTTTGATGGTGTTCTGGTACTGTAAATGGTGTCCTTTTAAATTATTTAATAACTTTTGGGTGTGGGGCAGGAAGAGAGGGGTGGTGTCCAAAGACAGCCCCACCCTTTACATCCTATCTTACCATCCACCATTTTCTCACCCTCCTCATATCCTTTTTGTTAAAATAAAAAGCATTGTTGCTATTGGTTTGTGTTGTATTTTAAGGATGAATGATCACAGGGCGCATCATTTAGAAACTTTGCAAATAGGATCATCGTTCTTAAGAGAACTTTCCCTAAAAGGGGGAGAACGAAGCAGAGAACAAATGAGGTTCGCTACCCAAACCGAACCTTGGAACACTTGGGATTTCTTTCTCATGTTTATGAAGCTGAATCTATTAATAAAGTAATGCGATGAATATACTTACAGAAAGCAAGCTGCAAATGTGAAGTCATCAGAAAGGTCCTTTTGCAATTGGGTTTTCCTATAAACCTATACTTGTTTGCTCCTCTGCACCCCAAAGTTTGCTTTTAACAAAATGTATCGAATGCTTAATTTGTTAAATACCTTATGCAGTTCCGATCAAGCCCTTTGTGCTGGTACAACTTTTTTTTCGGGGGGGGGGGGGCGGGGGGCTAAGTTGATTTTTTTTCATAGTAAGCTTGTAAAATAACACCAAAAGAAGAGATTGGGCAGTTTCTTCATTCTGCTTCTAAAATAGCCAAAGCCTTCTTTTAAAAACATAATTTGGAAAATATTTTCTACTTTTAGTGATCTAGAGGGTGTGGTACAATCCACAATCGACCATAAATTTAGGAAATAAACATTCATTCTCTTGGAACAAACACCAAAGCCAGAGTGAGCCTTATTCATCTGAGTCCAGGAGAAAAGCTCATACACCATGCCACTGGAACCCCCGTGAAAAGAAACAGGATGTTAGAGTCAACAGAATTGTACTTCGTGGCACTTGTAGAAATTCTTCAAAAGAACCCACTGTCCCCTTAGCAAATGTATGAAATAATGGGGAAAACTAGAATCACTGACACCCAGAGAAAACAGTACTCTGGGCTATTTCCTTCTTGCCTCTCAATCTCTTATCCGCGCACGCACACACACACACACACACGTATATATACACACATTTTATAAATTTCCTTTGTACGCCTAGCTTGACAGCTTTCTAGTTTAGCTAGAATGTTACTACCACTTTTATCATTACACGTTTTTGTGCCACTTTGTTCAATGCCCACTAAGTCTAAGTCAAACCTACTTTGATCCTTGCTTTCGTCACCTGTAAAGTAGGTTAGTTGCTCCATTAGGAAAAATAATGGCAAGCCACTTGATGTAACTACCCCTGTGAACAACCTTAGGACTCACTGCAGGGGTTTTTCTGTTGTTCCCACACTCATTCCATCCCCAAGTGTTTACTGAGTGCCCTCGCGCAGATGAGTTTCCCTGTCCCTACCCTCAACCAAACTGGTAGGAGCAGGTTTAGAATATCACCTTCTCCCCCCCCCCCCCACCCCAGAGCTGTCATTCGTCTCTTTGACCCCACCACCCTTTTATCCGACCTTTGCAAGTCTCCTTACTGGTTCACAGGCATCCACTGTACAGCCAGAGTGATTATTTTTTTTAACAGTAGAGCTGTTAAAAAGCTTTAATAGCTTTAAAACCTTCCAGAGAGTCTGAGGACAAAGACCAGTCCTCCTGAGCAAGGCCTAGACCCACCCCACTCCCATCTGAGACTACTGTCACATGACATCATGCCCATCCGTGTTCTCCAGAGCATTCTACCGCTTTGGCTTCCTTCTGTTTTTCACTGCCACTAGGCCTTTCCCCATGCTACCTCGGTCTGGAAAGTTTCTCCTTCCCCTCTTCAACTAATTCAATTCACCCAAACTTCAGGTCAGCCCAAGTGTCATTTTTCAGGCAAGCCTTCCCTGACCTCCCTAAATCCGATCCCCTATTTATTACAGACACTTAACTAAGTAGCCCCTTCAGATTAGGTGGCAGAAACTCCATGGTGTGTGTGTGTGTGTGTGTGTGTGTGTGTGTGTGTGTAATGCAGAAAGTAATGGCCATCTATCCACTGCACTGGAAGCTCCATTAGGGTCAAGGCCACATCCGTGTTTTTCCAAAGTACAAGGTTGACCCAAATCCCACACTTCAATTCCATAAGCAACACCCAGCATGCTGGCTAAAATGCCTCACTCCCGGATAGTGATTCAGTGAGGTCAGGGGCCTCGGACTCCGTTTCACAAGCCCCTCACTAGGTCCATATGAGTGCTAAGGGGACTTGTCATTCTAAGCATTCTAGAGACCTCAGACTCCGTTTAGGTTCTTTATTCCTCGCCTTTGTCTACACCCAAGCATCCAAGATGTTAAGAGACACATCCAAGGTTGAAAGAGTTACCTCAAATGGGATGATTAGGAACCTGGAAGGAAGGGGCACCTGGGTGGCTCAGTTGGTTAAGCGTGTGCTCTGGGCTCAGGTCATCTCACAGTGTGTGAGTTCAAGCCCCACATGGGACTTGCTGCTGTCAGCACAAAGCCCGCTTCAGATCCGCTCCCCCCCTTCTCTGCCCCTGCCCCGCTTGCTCTCTCAACTTTAAGGAGGGAAAATATCGGAAGAAGGCATACGTAGTACCTGGTTCCAGTTATGTGATTTCCTTACCATGAAACCAATAACCCTCAGCTGATTTCATTAAGAACCCCTGAGGCTCTAGACAAAGTGCCAGCCCCAAGCAGGAGAGCCCCGGAAGCAGGGCCTTAGGAGTGGCTTGGGGATCGTGGAGGAAGCTGGCAGGTGCAGCTAGGGTGGATTCCCAGGTTAGACAGTCTGCAGTTGCAGAAACTACAAGACAAAAACCTAAGGTAGTCTGTTAACTTGAAATCTTTCAGTACATTTAGGCGGCCTATTTTTGAAATGTTACCACCTGAAGTCTTAAAGAAGCTGCCCGTGGCCACCCCGTGCTGGTCCCCACCTGTGCCCTGTCTGTGAAATCGTGATCAACCGACCCACGTAGTTTACGGCATCCCTCCCCCAGGCGGCACTCACAGCTGGCCAGCCACTCGGGGGCAACCCAGAGTCAGAACCCTAACTCTCCTCACACGGTAAGGCCTGCCTCTACCTCCAGCTCACCCAGAAAAATGCTTATTTTAATGGTGAGATGGCTTTTCATTCAATCGGTCTCTTGTTTGTAAGCTTCAGCCCTAGAGACACACATAAGCAGTAAACCTGGGAGGGCCCCTAACAAGGTGACAGACCCAGACTGTTCGCAGAAGCAGCTCTCAACTTAAAAAAAAATCTTCTGCAATTTATCAATTGTTTTGCAATACATTTATTTGAAGGCTTCGTCAAAAATACAGCCTTTCACGAAGTATTTTGAGAAGGGAGAGGCATAAAGAAGGGGCATGGAAGAAAGCTAACTGGTCTGCTTCACTAGCTCACGTTCACATGGGACCATTTGTGTACATTCATTTAAATGATGTATTTGAAGCTGAAAGTGCTGTCACAGGACAGGCGCTTGCCCCTGCATCTCCCACACAAATCTTGACGGTGGGGCCTTTTGGGGTCAACGTGGCGAAGTTTTACAGGGCAGGAGCATCTAGTCTGTTTACAGCTCTGAAAAACCAAAGCGAGAAGCACATACAGAAGATAAACCCGCGGGGACTTCCTCGAACGTCCAAGTTATTTTTCTACTCCAAACACGTACTGAACGCACTTTAAGCAAAGCCCTGTGCTCATCTTGTTCTGTCCGCACCCCTCCCCGCAAGGACAGGCTGGGAATGCAGGGTGTTTAACCAAGTGGTCGTGGTCTCGTTGCATAGGATTCAGTTTGGACTTGTGAACTTTTGAAATGCGATTATCTAAAAGGAAATCTCTTCCTGTGCTTGAAGGGTGAACAAACGAACGGGAGAGGAGTCGGACCAGGAAAGCTAAGGTGTGAGGCTGGGGATGAGGAGCAAGCTGTGGGCCAAGCCTCGCTCCGGTGGCTGACCCGGCCCTCGCCTCCACCTGCTACAAATGACCTGAAGCGGACCCTGAAGTCCGTGCGGCAACCGCGGGGCCAAGAGCTAGCGGTTATGGGGTCCATCCCGCTTTAGAACCTGACCCTACTCTGCCCCGATGTGAGTGAGCCTACACCGTTTCCCATACTTGGGCTCTCTCTTCCTACCCTGGAGTATGAGCCTTCCAACACCCAACCTGAGTGAAGTGCACGGATTAGGCTGTGTCAACGGACACATCAGGCTCCACCAGCTGTGTGCTAAGAGGCAAGTTCAGTCGCCTCTTCCCGGAGATTCTCTAAGCCCCTTAGCGCAGTGCTTAGTTACCAGTTAACCAGCAAGGTTCCTAGTCAGCCCCATAACGCTGGGTGGCTTAGATCCACTTGAACACAACTCTCTCTCCCTTTGCCAGCACTCAGGCGGGACAAACTCTGAAGACCTGTGCTTCTACTGAATATCCTAACTTGGGAATGTGCTTCAGAAAAAGCATTTGGGTGAAACAGACAACTTTTACCACCTCACGTTAGTGGAGAGATATTCGATTTTTGATCTGCTCTCTCACATTAGACGGAGCGGCAAGTAAGGCAGACATTTGTCCGTGTTGCAGGGGAGGTAACTGACTAAGGAGGTTAACGTGACTGAAGGAAACAAGACCTCGAGACCCTGTGCCAGGTTGAGTATGGTTTCCACCATCCCCACCTGGAAGTGGTGACCGAGGTCACGGGGAACCTGGCCTCTTTTAGGCAACACCTGCAAGGAACTGCACCAAAACCCTTTACCAAGTACCCAGGTCAGACACAGAACGGGAACATTCAATTTACTTGGCATGTGATATCCTCCACTCGGTAAGGGTTATACGACTTCTGACAAGTTCTGCAAAACTGCTTGAAGTAAACCTGTGAGAAGAGAGGAAAAGCTTCAAGCCAAAGCCTCTCGACACTCACGTCAAAAAGCTGCCAGTTCAGGGGCGCCTGGGTGGCTCCATCGGTTAGGCGTCCGACTGGGTTTGGGCTCAGGTCATGATCTCCCCATTGTGTGGGTTCAGGCCCTGTGCTGGGCTCTGTGCTGACAGCAAGGAGCGTGCTTGGGATTCTCAGTCTCCCTCCCTCTCCCCCCCTCCCTGCCCTTCCCCCACTCACCCTGTCTCAAACTTTATTAAAAAAAAAAAAAAAGCTACGACTTCCTTGGTATTTCTTACCTTGCTGGTGCCCTGCACACACCACACGTAGGCACTTTCCCACCGGATGTTGCAATCCTTGCAGTGATAATACCCATACTTCTGCTCTAAGAACTGAGCAAAAAAGACACCAGAATTTAACCCACAGGAGATCTGAATTAGCCGTCATTTCAGAAGGTGGGAAGGATCGATTTGCCACTTAAAATTGGCAACATCATTCCAGATCATGGAGGAAAGGAGGCTCAAGGTCTGAACTGGTCTCTCCAATGTAGTAATTGGGTGACCTAATGGCTTGATCAAGCAGGAGCCTTAAGAAGTTTCCATTCCAGATTAGCTTGGTTCATAAAGCAAACCGATTGACAAGCTAGCTACTAAGTAGAGATTTTCCCTCTGACAAGCAAGGGAAAAGCCAAACATCTAGGCTTCTCTGAACCTGGAGTCTTCAGGGAAGCCTTTTCTCTGTAGGATCAAGTCTAATTTTAGAACATACACACGGGACCGTTGTTAAGCTGAAGAAAAGGAGCAAGACTCTGTGTCCTAAGATACTTTGACAATGTTCACTCAGAAGTCCATTCTCTATGCTGCTAGTTCAACTGCCAAACAATGCAAGAGATCTATTGTGGATAAGCAAGAATTCATATTCAACATTAACTAACGTAGCACTGTCTTATTCTTAAGCTTCTCTTTTTCCCTCCCAGGAAGAAACAAATTATAAACAAGTGCTTGGAGGTAGCCCTTTAAGTGCTTTCTGAAGTTCCTGCCAATTCTAGGGCAATTTCATAGGTGAGCACACACAGGTCCGGACGGTGCTGACTGAAGATCACACGTGGTTTACATTACACATAGCTTCTGTAGAACTGGACTCACCCCTCCTCTCCTCGGCTGCCCCCAACAGCCCTGGCCCACCCCCACAGAAGGCCTCCAGGCCTCTTCCCAGCCCCTGCCTTTCCGCTTCCCCGGGTTACCGCTGCCCCCGGCACACTCCAGCCCTTTAGGGTTCAGCTAGTGTGACTGTCCCCTCCAAGCCTGCTGCTCTCAGGCCGCAATACACAACGGCCTAAGGCTTTAGCAGTGTTGAGCTTCTGATTAAGGGTGCTTTCAAGGAGCAAGAGAAGAAAAATCCCAAGGGAGACCCTTCAAAGCTCTAGCTCCCAGTGAAAGCTTGGACAATGTGGGCAAGAATCAGGGTCGAGCTGACCAGGCAGGACCCCAGTAATGGACTGTTAGGGCTTTTGCCACATCGCATGGAGATACGTAGTAGGATCCTCGGGAATCGTCCAAGTTCCCCTCCGAGATCGTCCAACTGCCGAATCAACACTGGCCCACGTGCCCACGGTCAGGGTTTCGTACAGTACAGCTGCTGGCACCAAGTGTTACCAGGGCGCCTCCCTCGCCAGACTGCGGAGCCCACGTTTCACAATCGGCAGCCACAAGGGTCAGGCTGCACCCCTGCATTCGGCTGCTGGAGGACACCACCTGCCGCGGGGAGGGGAGGCGCTGCGAAGACGCACAGGCGTGGCGCGCGCCTAAGGAAGCGGGCGCCTCCACGCGTCGCGAGCAGCCGCTGGGCGAGGGCAGGGACAGGATCCCGGAGGAGACCACACCCCCGGGGCCCCCGGGGGCCCCCGAGTCCGCCCCCAGCCGCCTGAGCCTCACCTGGAAGCGCGGCCTCTCCTTGGCCTGCTCGGGGCTCCGCGGCGACGACCTCTGGCCCGCGGCGTCCTGGGCCTGCCCCGCCGGCGGGGACGGCCCCGGATCCCCGGGTGCGCGCCGCGGGGCCGCCTCGCCTCCCCCGGCCTCCCGCGGCGGCAGCCCCGGCCCCGCGCCCGGCGGCTCCCAGCTCGTCCGCGCCTCGGCCTGGGCCTCGGCGTCGTCCGCCGCCTCCTCTTCGGACTGCGGCCCCTGGGGCGCCTTCCTCGCCAACCCCTCTCCCGCCTCGGGGCCTCGGGGCCTCGGAGGCGGCGTCCTTCGCTCTCCCGCCGCGCTGGGGGCGCCTTCCAGGAAGGTGGTGAGGCGGCGGGAGGCCACGGGCGAGTACACGGCGACGGTGCGCGGGAAGCGCACGGGCCGAGGGGCGCCGCTCGGGGGGCTGCCCTGCTCGGGGCCCCGGCGCGCCGGCTGCGGGGACCCCGAAGCGCCGCCGCCCGCGCCCGCCGCGCCCTCGAGGCCCGGCGCGGCCGCGGGGCCGGGGTCGCGGGCCCTGCGCAGCAGCGTGCGCCGCCCCAGCGAGCACTGCACCGAGGCGTCGCGGCGCGGGTTCACCTGCACGGCCGCGTCCCGGCTGCTGGGCCTGCGCGGCCGCGGGCCGAGGCCCGGGCCCACCTGCGCCAGGAAGGCCATGATCTGCGCCCGCTGGTAGCTGTCGAAGTACTCGGCGGCCGTCAGCTGCCCGCAGCCCGGGAAAGACGGCAAGGCCGCCGCGGCGGCGGAGGACGCCGACGCCGAGGACGCGGGAGCGTAGCCCCCGGCCCCGTGCCGCCAGCCGCCCCCGCCCGCCTCGCCCTTTCCCGCGGGCGGGTAGGGGTGCGGGTAGGAGTAAGGGACGCACGCCGGGTACATGTAGCCTTCCAGCACCTCGTCCCCCAGGGGAGCCATAAGCGCAGCCCCAGCCGCTCCCGCCGGCGCCCTGCCCTAAATAGGCAGCCCTGCGGGGGCCGCGGGCCCCACCGCCCGCGTCCGCGCCTCGGCCGCCGCCAGCTCGCGTCCCCGCCGACGTGGCCTGTTCCTGACCTTCGCCGTGCGGAAATTCTGCACACTCGGAGGTCGGCACACAGAGCCCGAGATGATCTGAAAAGATTGCTTTCTTTGCGATGCGAGCACTGATTGCCAAGTGAGCTTGCCCGAGGTGGAGAGGATGCCAGGGGCGCTCAATCACCGGGATTAGCCGAGCCAGGTGGGCCGCGTACCTTGATTACGTCAGGTGTCCGCGGGGTGCCTGCGTCTGGCGGGCGAGCGAAACCGCCAAGGTTTGGGCAACGGCTTTGGGCCCGTTACCTATGCTCTCAGATTCCAGTTTAATTATCTCAGAATTGCCCTGAGAAGTCTACGCACTGAAGCCCTTCGGGTATGTGCATAGGGACAGCACCCTCGAAGGCATCCCTACGTGGGCTAATTGCTCTCTCCCCTGAAGCGCGTCCCCTTCTCCCCTCCACCTCGCGCGGGGAGTCTATTGCTCTCCTGGGGGTGGGGGAGGGGTATAGTACTACCACAATTTTCTGCTAACTAAATCATCCCTCTAAAAGATTGATCTGAGGTGTGTCTACATAAGTGCAGAGACAAAATCAGTCCCCAACTGAGATGAAAATACCTTGTTCCCTGGAAAAAATGAGAGCTGTTCATTACTAACAGATAGCACATCAAGTAATCAAATGCATTAATAGTTTTGGGTTTTTTTTTTTTTTTTTTGCTGATATGATACAGGTTTGACAATAAAATACTGTATTTCACTGTTTAGTTGACCTGTGGGGATTTTTGGAATACAGATCAAAATTCAACATTATCAGGTATTCATACGTTGAGCAAGCACTTTTTTTTTTTTAACAACAGTTACATTAAACTCAATTACCCTTTACAAATTATGTTTTACCCAAAAAAAAAAAGCCCACATAGCTTGTTTTTACATATAAGATAGTGCACCAAAATTCTGCATTTCCAAGACCCTGCTTTTCTAAGAGTTTACATATTTGAAACAGTCCTATAAATTGGTAATGATAAAAACCAAAGAGCACATTTAACATGTTTAGCAGTCCCAGGTGCAAGTTGTATACGACACTGATTTGTAATTTGTGAACGTGCTTGGTTAACACACCAGTACAACCTTACAATGGGAAGGTGATGATTGTTACATGTATGACAGTGTGAAGCACGTGTTATCCTTTACGTGAACCACATTCACTACCACAGACCAGAAATATCATAAATATGAAGTAACACTCCTACAAGACAGAGCCTCCTCTGTGTCCCCGTGTTCAGAGAGAAGTCTGAGTGGTTTCCATCATAATTAAGTTGTCAGCTTTCACTGTACCGTAGGACGGGTCTGCCATTTCCTCCTCTTTGAGTTTCTTATACGAAATGTCTGTATCTTCATCTTCATCTAGAGGATCTCGCTTGTGTAACATGTCACTTCCGTACACTTTATATATTAGAACAAAAATCCCCGCTTCTGCAGACTGGAAAAGGGCATAGAGCAGGGGAAACATGTACATGCTTCCTATCAACCGTGGTGGAAAGGCCAGCTTAAGAATGGCGGTACAGAGCTGCACGTTCTGACTGCCTGTCTCCAGGCACACGGTCCTCTTGCAGTTGGGCGGAAGATGGAAGAGAGTGGCTAAGCCGTAGCCTGAGGCGTAGCCTGCCAAAGGCATGAAAATTGCTACCACGTAAACACTTGCAGGGATACTCGCCAACAGCTCAGGTCCTAACATGGTGCCGGTCATTATGAAAAGGACCACCAGTGTCACTAGCAGAGACCACAGGGAAACCTAGTGATAGAAAATGACAAATCATCAAAAATAGTTGAAAAGGAATCCAGGCAAGAGAATCCTAAGCTCTTGGAAGATGAGACGCAGCCAGTCTCACCGCACACACAAAATGGACTCTGTGCCGTAGGGTCTTGGACCAAGTGCTTCGGAGGACGGATAGGACACCTCATCAGGGGGAGTCCAGAGCCTCGTGGGACGGTTCTACTTGTTTAGAGGCCTGTCCTTATGTCTAGTGACAATCTGCTTTAACAACTAGCCATCGTCTTGGGTAGACTCTCAGGAGCAGCACAGACCAGACTTTGGTTTAAAAAACAGGAAGAGGGGGGCGCCTGGGTGGCTTAGTCGGTTGAGCGTCCGACTTTCGACTTTCGCTTGGGTCATGATCTCACGGTTCGTGGGTTCGAGCCCCGCGTCGGGCTCTGTGCTGACTGCCAGCTCAGAGCCTGGAGCCTATTTCGGAGTCTGTGTCTCCCTCTCTCTGACCCTCTCCTGCTCATGCTCTCTCTCTCTCTCTCTCTCCTAGAAATAAATTTAAAAAAATATTTAAAAAAATAAAATTAAAAAATAAAATTTATAAAAAACAGGAAGAGGGGCACCTGGGTGGCTCAGTCGGTTAAGTGTCTGACTTCCGCTTCCGCTCAGGTCATGATCTCATGGTTCGTGAGTTCGAGCCCCACGGCAGGCTCTGTGCTGACAGCTTGGAGCTTGGAGCTGCTTCAGATTCTGTGTCTCCCTTTCTCTCTACCCTTCCCCTGCCTGCACTCTGTCTCTGTCTCTCTCAAAAATAAAACATTAAAAAAATAAAAATTTTTAAAAACAGGAAGAAAAGGCGACTCTTCTCCAGCAGACTGTCTCCAGACTTTCAGATAACTCTGTGCTGGCGGTCCTGACTGTTCAGAACATGTGTTTAATTTGTGAATGTGCCTCTTCAAAACAGCAGTTGGAATTGAGCCCGAAACACCAAGTATGGTCTGATGAACAGAGTGGGCACATGAACATTACCTTCCCTGTACAGGACCCCATGTTTCCTAGAAGAGATTAGCTGGTTTAACCCATGAGATTAAAAAGCTATTAAAGTGTATGAAACTTATAAACTTAAAAAAATTTTTTTATAAAGGGGCACCTGGGTGGTTCAGTCTGTTGAGCATCCAAGTCTTGATTTTGGCTCAGGTCACGATCCCAGGGTCGTGGGATCGAGCCCCACAGAGGGCTCTGTACTGAGCCTAGAGCCTGCTTGAGATTCTCTTTCCCTCTGCCCCTCTCCCTCACTATTGCTCCACTATTGCTCTCTCTCTCTCGCTCTGTCTCAAGTAAATTAAAAAAAATTTTAAGTATGAAACTTAGTACATGATGCTTTCAAATTTCAAAATACTTTGTATCTCAGAGAATTGATAGCAATATTGAAACAATTACCAACTCTTAGATTACATAAATGAAAAAAAAATGAACAGAAGACATGAGGAATTCTTTGCAATTCTGCAACACCTCCTTTTTCATCTGTCCATGAGAAACACCCACCTATAAGTCTCTAATGATGTTTAGGAATTCTTACCTACAATGGATGGATTTTAGATACAGTACTACGGACTGTATAAAACATTGTGTCATCTTGATGTCTGACTGATACATTTCACTAATTCAAGGAAGACCATTTGTGTAAATAGTAAGGGTGGAAACCTAAAAATTCCTCTCTTCGTTCTCCTTTAGATTAGCAGTGACCTAGTTTATTTGGGTTTTTTGTTTGTTTGTTTAATGAGGGTAGGGGGTGTTTGTGAGGAAGAAGAGAGATCCAAAACAGTTTAAGTGCTGATTCTGGTTCACCGGATATTTGAGGGGAAACCCCTTTGCAGCCTGTGGGACTGGCATATACTTTATCCTCTTTAAAAAATTGCTTAAAATGTATCTGGGCTGGTAAAAAGTCTACCCTAGAGGGTGCTAAAATAATTATTATATAAAGTGCTCATGCTACAAAGGTACAATGGGCAGAAACCAAACTATTATAAATCAAAGCTTTTTCTAAAAATAATCTCTACACCCAACATGGGGCTCAAACTCACGACTCCAAGATCAAGAGTCTCATGTTCCACCCACCGAGCCAGCCAGGCACCCCTGAAACCTTTCTGATATTATTAAGTTTCAAAGTGTCTTCAAATCAAAAGCTTTGACAGGAAATCTGATTCTTTATTGTGAAAATATTGGCACCAAAGTTTCTTTTCAACTATTTTAAATCATTCGGGTGAGCACTGACATTGAATGCTCATTTTAAAGTGTTTCCAAAAGTGTAAAAGTGTTATAAAGGATACCTTTTGAATGTTCTGATTAAGAACACTTTAAACTTTAAACTCAAAGTCACCCAATCTTACTAATTTATCTATGAAATATATTTATCTATTTATAGATAATCGATAACATATCAATTTATCTGTTGATTTTCTCTTAGAATTCCTAAGATTTTATAGTATTAGCTTAATGATTAAGCTTAATAAGTTCTTAATGCATCTCAAGATTACCTATGGGTATATTATATACAATATATAAAATATATGCATATTTACATATATGTACTAATTTATGACATTCAAAATATATATATGTTTATTATATAGCACAATTTCTTTTACTCATCGCTGGCTACATCTGCATAAATGAACCCATTATTTTTTGTAATAAAAATTTAGCTCCTTTGAATAATTAAATTTTGATTATTTATTTAAAATTAATTTAATTAATGTAAGTAAAACACAAAAGATTGTTTTCTTACATCTACATAACTGAAATATTGGAGAAACTCGTTTTCTCTTCACTTAGCTAAATGAATTTGTGCATTTATAGTAACTAGTTATGTATTTTACTTGAGTAACTTCCTAAAAGGAGAGTCCTACCCATGGTTTACTCTTAGATTTACTATTTTTGAATTTTCAAAGAAAGCTTTGTTGACAAATATTTAAATTTTGTCTCCAGTCAACAACAAAATCTCTACTGCTACCAAAAGCATCAGTTTTTCTTTTAAATAAAGCAGTATTGGAAATATTGCACAAAATAATAGGAATCTTCACCCTTTCACTAGCTTAGAAACCACATTCATTACCACAAGGCCACAGGGAAAAGAAACACACAACACAGATTTAGTAACGGTAATATATTCTGCATTCTTTATCCAGGACCCAGTTTTATTTTGTGCCTTTTTAAAGTCACTATTTTGTGCCTTCTACTATATTGCCTCAATGTGATTTTAAAATTAGTGTCAACTTATTTTTAGAAAAGTAATAAAAACATTTTAAAGAAACCTTCTACAGAGTTTCTCAGAATTAGAGTTCCACTTTTTAAAAAAGATAATAATGCATTTCTAAAATACTGCACAAATTCCATTCCCATCATTTTATTTCCCCTGCTTTGATTTTTAGTAATGCCACGATAGTGGAATTATGTTAGTGGAAAATATGTTGCCATTTAATAGCACCTGTCATCTCCTTCCCCCTTGATAGGTTTCCTCCTGTGAATACTAATAGTTCTCCTATGCCGTTTTTAATTAAGGTATGTCTTAATTAAAGCTATGGGCCTTCTCAATTGAAAAAGGTAGAAGTTTTCTTTGTGGCACAAACTTTTTTTTTTTTTTTTTTTTTTAAGTTTATCCCTGCAAGTGATGCCAAGTTTTCTTCCTTCTCCCTCTTTCCCAACAGCCAGGGGTGACCTTACCTTCACAATGTAGTCCGCCACCCGGTTGTATTTGTACCGAATGAAGACCCCCAAGCCGATAGGGATGAGAGTGCTGCAGAGAGTCAGGGTCACCGCCCCCAGGGGTAGTAACTGCACCAGAGAGGTGTTGATCCAAGCTCGGCTGTAGATCCACAGGCACAGGGGCATCAAGACTAGAGCCAGAAGTGTGGAAGAGATGGTCATGATGATGCTGCAGAAAAGGGAAAGGACAGAATTCACAATGGGCTCTGTGCCAAGAGTCTCTCTTGCACACTGGGTAGAGGAGAAGGAAGGAGACTGGAAATCTGGAGTTCCAAGTCTGCGGAGAGAACCTGTTTCATCAGAGCCAAGAGAACAACAGCCCCTAAGCCCAACTGAAACATGAACCCAGGATGGGGGGGGGGGGGGGGAATCTCAGGACCGCTGCCCCTGGGTCTGTAAAGCCTATTGAGCTGGCTACAGTCTGGATGATTCTGAGGGCAAGGAACATCTTTCTTTTTTCATCCTCCAAAGCACCCTGTTAGACGTGGTAAAGCTGCTGAACACGACTTGTTGGATTGAACTCAATTATAGTGTCCTCTATAGGAGATCACTTTCCTTTCTGGGGCCAATAGCCCTATTTTGCTTTTGCATTTCCGGCGAGTCCTAGCTTCAGGCTTCCCCGTTCCCTTTGTCTCCCAGAGGACGACCTGCGCTGGATGGTCCCAGAGGGGTGCAGGGAACCCCAAGGCAGTCGGCACCCCAGTCCCGTCTAGATCTCTCCCCCCTCCAGCACTACCTCTCCACGTCCGCCTTGACTTCCTTTTTTAAAAATTTTTATTTACTTCTGAGAGAGAGAGGGAGAGAGACAGCGTGAGCAGGGGAGGGTCAGAGAGAGAGGGAGTCACAGACTGAAACAGGCTCCGGGCTCCGAGCCGGCAGTCAGCACAGAGCCCGACGCGGGGCTCGAACCCACGAACCGCGAGATCATGACCTGAGCTGAAGTCAGACGCTTAACCGATTGAACCACCCGGGCGCCCCCCGCCTTGACTTCTAAAGCCCTGGCGTCAACCTCTCCCCTCACTGGCTTCTTCCCCCTTGCACGCCTCTCCCTCCGCCTCTCCTTCCTCCGGGTCTGAAACCCACCGCGAAGCGCGGCTGCCTGGCCTGGGAAAGCCGCGCAGGGGGCAGCCCGCCGCGTACCTGAGGTTCATGTCGCCGTCAACCAGCAGGGACATGAGGTTGGAGAGGTTCCCGCCGGGGCAGCAGCCGCACAGGAGCACCGCCACGGCGGCCACCTCGTTCAGCGAGAAGGCCAGCGCCAGCAGGAAGGCCAGCAGCGGCAGCAGGCCGAACTGGCAGAGCGCGGCCAGCAGCGCGCCCACGGGCCGCCGCACGTGCTCCGCGAAGTGGTTCACGTCCACCGTGCAGCCCAGGCCCAGCATGGTGATGCACAGGGCGGCTCCCACGAACACGTTCAGCCCGTGGTTCAGCGGCGTGTCCCAGAACGGGGTCTGGGGCTGCGGCCAGGGCTGCGGGAACAGGGACTGGCCCAGGCTGGGCTGGACGCCCGCCGGGGCCCCTGCCGTCGGCTCCGGGGTCGGCGCCGGGCCGGGGCTGAAACCGACGCCGGGACTGGGCGCGAGGCTGAGCCCGGGGCCGGGGCCGGCGCTGGAGGCGGGGGTGCCGGGCAGGTCGGGGCCGGGGCTCAGGCTGCTGGCATTGGGCGACAGCGTGTAGTTGTCCGGCTGCAGCGAGGACGGGGCGAAAAGCAGCGTCGCGTTGTCGGGGCCGTCCATGGCGCCGCGGCGGGAGGCTGCGGGTCCGCCGGCCCCCGGCCCCGCGTGCTGCGGTCGCCGCAGCCGTCCGCCTGTCCGCCCGTCCGTCGGTCCGCAGCCGCAAGCGGAGCTGGGTCGCGAGCCCGGGCTGCGCGCCGCTGACGTCTCCGCGGCGTCGGGTGCGGCGGGAGGGGGGTGGGGGTCCTCCGCCGGCCGCACTTAAGCGCAGCCCCCCAGGGCGAACCCAATCGCCGGGCCCCAGCGCCCCGCAGGCCCCGCCCCGCCGCCGAGTCCCTGCTTTTAATCACCAGTAAGTGGTTCTGTTAGAGTGCAGCCAGGGGCGGAACAAAGCCCTGACAAAGGACCAGAAGAAAAACCGTGCCTGGCAGCCGATCAAGTTCTGTGATGGGCTCTGCCTCTTTCATAATGAAATCTGGACACACACACACACACACACACACACACACACACACAGAGCTAATCCATGCATGCATATACGCTACATACACTGTTCAAATAGCCTGCAACCCTGAGCATCGAGAAAGGTCCCTGACTTAACATGAGCGGTTCTCTGGTAGCAAGACATAATATCTGGCTTTCATTTACCAACAGGTTTTTTTTTTTTAATTCTTTAAAAACATTTTTTAAAAGTAATCTCTACGTAATTTGCTTAACAGTTTTTAAATAAAATATGTTCAGACTCGAAGTTGAAAGTAATAACAATACTGGTGCGTCGGCAAGTGCGTGTGCATTATTTCATTCGATTGTCACAGCAGAACCATGAGAGGGGCTGTTAACCCGTTCTTACACTTCAGGAAAATCTGAGGCGCAGGGAAATCTCAGCCTGGGCAGCCAGACCCACAGGCAGTGTCTGGATGAATGTGCACCTGATGCGTCCTTAAAGAGTGCCCTGGAGAGCTCTGCTAAGAAAAGGCTCCGTGAAAGATGTGTTTTGGGTTATTGGCAGATGGGGAGAGGATATCTCCGTGGCCGTAAATTTATGAAGTGTTAGGAGTGCAGCTCCGCGATGGGATTAGAGAGCTAGAAAGAAATAAAGTGGTGGGATTCCCTGCCTCAGACAGGTTTATCCCCCAAACAAATCAGATTCAGGGCTCACAGGACTGTTGGCTCAGCAACTTTCAATCACCAGAGGCATGGACAAGGAGAAGAGGGACCGCTCTGCATACCAGGGAGGTGGAGCCTGTCCGGGGTGACCAGAAAGCCAAAGCCAGGTGAGTTGCGAAAGCCAAAGGGAGGATTTTCTAGGCCGAAGTCTTAGCTCAGCATTAGCCTGCATGGGGCCAGGACCCCAAAGTGGATTCTTCCCCCTGGGAACTTGTCCCTCCCCACTTTTCTGACACCAGAGGAGACTGGGTGACTTCCATTTCCCAGTGGTGGACAGAGCCCATGTGTTCCATCTTTTCTCCTCTCCAAGTCTCATGAAAATGACAGAGAATATGAAAAATATGATTAAATTCACAGCACATTGCATTCTTAATCACAAATAAACCATTTGATTTTTCTCCATTAGACCATAAATTCCATGAAGGCAGAGCTACTGCAAGCATTTAGGAAAGTAACGTACCCTCATACTTTCCTAAAACAGCGGGCCAAGAAAACCATGCAGTGACATCTATTGAGCTTTGCAGGAAGTGGGATATGACCAAAAATACTCTACGTGTTCATTCAGGCTTATGTATGCACAACTAAGATACTCAGATATACAGTGAAACACGCCACTCGAATACTTTCATTAAGTAAGTATATCCAGGGGAGACTCACGCAGAAAGGGACAAAATAAGGATGGGGCCCTGCTGAGCCTTCACATTCTTTAAACCACAGGATGAGATAAGCCAAGAACACGAACGGCAGAGCCAGCTGAAGCCTAACTCTGTGGACACTGCGCCTGCTTGCCCCCTCCTTGTGTTCATGATATTAAAATCCACAATCAAATTCAATAAGCAGTAATTAGAGGCAGACCAACTCATCCAACTAGCTCCTGTCTTGGTTTGGGGAGGGATGTGGGAGGTGATTTATGCAACGGGCAAAGAGCAAAAAGCAGAAAGGGATGGACCTGGCTTGTAAATCAGCAGGCTCACAGCAAGCCTGCAGTTCTGGGGGCTTCTTGGGGCCTGCAGGCCGATCATTCTCCTGCTGCTGTAGTTATTGTCAATGTAAAGAAAGTCCCCCTCCCCCCTTCTTTCTGGTCTCCTTCGCTAAGAGAAAAGCCCAGGAATAGAAAACAGAGCTCACAATCCAGGTGTGGTACTGGCGTGGGTCACTTAGCCTCCTCAGTTACCTTTCTTTTACTCATGCGCCACCAAGGAGGGTCCCGCCCATCCAGAGGAGAGAGAATATATAGAAGGAAGAGACAACAACATAGCACCCGGAAAACATACTCTGGGGCGTGGGGAGGTGAGAAGAAATTTAGAACTATGTGGCACGCCAGACATCAAAAGTAATTCCAAATAGATTAAAGAGCTAACAATAATAATGATGATGATACAACCAAATACCCGAGAAAAATGTTGGCTCGTGTTTGTATCATCTTTAGATGAGGAAAGTCTTCCTAAGCAAAAAAGCAACAGAAGACATCCTAATGGGAAGCTCACTTGATATGGCTACATAAACATTTTAAACAGAGCAGTAAAGCCGGCAGTGGAAAAGGTTAAATGCAGATTGCAAAATGAAAAAAATATTTGAAACATATAAAATCAAGAGCTAATTTTAAAAAATTTTAATGTTTATTTTATTTTTGAGAGAGAGAGAGAGAACAAGTGAGGGAAGAGGAGAGGGAGAGAAAGACTCAGAATCTGAAGCAAACTACAGGCTGCGGCGGGGGGGGGGGGGGGGGGGGGGGGGGGGGGGGGGGGGGGGGGGGGGGGGGGGGCACTCAAAACCACAAACCGAGAGATCATGACCTGAGCTGAGCTGAACTAGATCACTCAACTGAGCCACCCAGGCACCCCAAGAGCTATTGTTAATTTGCAAAATAGTTTTGCAAATTAATGAAAACAAACAACACACTAGGAAAAAGGCAAGTGATATGAGTAGACACACAATATCACTGAAAAGAATGCAAATCACCAATATGCTTATACAAATATTCACACCCAGTTGTACACAAAGAAATTAAAGCAATTAAGTGCCATTTTTTCACTACCAGAAAATGCTGAAATGTGATGGTATTGTGGCAAAAATGCTATGAACTAGACAGTCTCTCACCCTACCAGTGGTATATCTTTTCTAGTAGGAGACTTGGTAGATAACAATTGTCCTAAGAATGTGCATTTACTTTGGTCCAGCAATTCTTTTCTAGGTATTTATTATAAGGAAACAGAAAAAGTATTTTTTGATGAGAGCTACGTTGAGTGTGTACTTTCTACAGACAATCTTCTAAGCCTTTGCGTGGACCATCTCCTGTAACCCTTACTTAACGGGGTTAGAAATTTGGCAAGTCATCTCCTAGTATGGGCAGAGCCAGGATTGGAACCCAAGCTTTCGGATCCCAAAGCGCAGATAAAGGAGTGCGCTAATACGGGAGACTGCTATGTAGATACCAAGTATCATTAAAAATCAGAGTTCTTAATCTAGAGTCCATAGATGAATCTGAGAACCTCTTGAAAGATGAACTTTTCTGTATACATATTTTTTTTTATCTGAAAAGTGAGTCCACGACTTTTCTCAGGTTCCTGAAAGAGTCCAAGACCTGTTTAGAGAAGTTCTTGTGATAAAATCTTAAGTGATAAAACAAGCTATAAACACACACACATACACGTATATTCTAGTAAATAGATTAAACATACATAAATTTAGAGGGAATTTCTCCCATATAGAGTATATCTGAGTGATTCTATTAAAAGGGATTTTTAGGGGCGCCTGGGTGGCTCAGTCAGTTAAGCGTTGGATTTTGGCTCAGATCATGATCTCACAGGTGGTGAGTTCAAGCCCCATGTCAGGCTCTGTGCTGACAGCTCAGAGCCTGGAATCTGCTTCAGATTCTGTGTCTCCCTCTCTCTGCCCCTTTCCCACTTGCATTCTGTCTCTGTCTCTCTCTCTCTCAAAAATAAATATTAAAAAAAATTTTTTTTTGAAAGTGGTTTTTAGGGATGCCTGGGTGTTTCAGTTGGTTAAGCTTCCAGTTCTTGATCTTGGCTCAGATCATGGTCTCAAGGTTCATGGGCTCAAGCCCTGAGTGGAACTCTGCACTGAGGGCACAGAGCCTGCTTGGGATTTTCTCTCTCCCTCTCTCTGCCCCTTCACCTCTCCATATACTGTCTCTCTCTCTCTCTCTCTCTCTCTCTCTCCTCTCTCTCTCTCTCTAAGTAAATACATAAACATTTAAAAGTGATTTTTAGGGGCGCCTGGGTGACTTAACCCAGGTTAAGCATCCAACTTCGGCTCAGGTCATGATCTTGAGGTTCATGAGTTCAAGCCCCATATCAGGCTCTGTGCTGACAGCTCAGAGCCTAGAACCCGCTACAGATTCTGTGTCTCTCTCTCTGTTCCTCCCCTGCTCATGCTCTGTTTCTCTCTCTCTCTCAAAAATCAACATTAAAAAATATTTTTTAAATAAATAAAAGTGATTTTTAGTTTTTTTGTCTATATTTTACTGTGTTTCTGAATTTCTGTCATAATAGTATTTTATAAACAGAAAAATATAAATGTTATTCTAAAATATAAAATCCAGAGGAAAAATAAATTCCACAAGTGTCAAGGGGTAAGTCACTTTAATCAATCCACAGGCTATATAGGTTGATAGAGAAAAATAGTCAAAAGACAGACAATTTGCAATGTAAAAAATATATGCTCTTTACTGAACAGAAACAGTTGTACTTCTCTAGTAGTAAATACACACAAAATATGAAACCTAAAATCAAATAGACAAAAATTCTCAAAGTCAACACCACCTAAAGCTGGAAATGTAATGGAAAAAGCACTCAAACACCTTGATGGTGGTGAGGTATTTGAATCAGCTTCTGGGCAAAGCAATCCTGCTTCTGGAAATTTTTAAAAATTAG